GGTTCCTTTTTCTCCACATCCTCTCCAGCATGTGTTGTCACATGAGATTTTTATCTTAGCCATTCTGATGGGTGCAAGGTGAAATCTTAGGGTCTTTTTTATTTGCATTTCCCTGATGCCTAATGATGTTGAGCATTTCTTTAAGTGTTTCTCTGCCATTATATATTCCCCTTTTAAGAATTCTCTGTTTTCTCTGTACCCCATTTTTTAATTGGACTACTTGGTTAGTTGCTGTTTAACTTCTTGAGTTCTTACATATACTGGATATTAGCCCTCTATTAGATATAGGGTTGATGAAGATCCTTTCCCAGTCTATTGCTTGTCATTTGGTTCTGTCATTTTGCCATTGCACCAGAATATGAAATAGTTTCTGTTTTTCCCAGCTCTGTCCTGGGCAGGTGGTTGTGGTCAAACCCTGACTACACTATGGCTCTAAACTGACTTCTCTTTCCTAGTGGTTTAATAGGTACCTTATAGAGTCTTACATTTTGTGTGGAATTAACTCCTCTCCTTCAAATGCTGTCATTAACATCATTAAAACACACACTGGTTGTGTGTGCCACCACAACCGGTGGCCGATGTGATCTGATAGACTAAGATCAGAAGGAAGAAGAGGAGGACCTCCCCTATCAGTGGACTTGGGGAGGGGCATGAATGAAGAAAGGGGAGGTAGGGTGGGATCGGGAGGGGAGGATGGAGGGGCTTATGGAGGGATACAAAATGAATAAAGTGTAATTAATAATAATAATAATAAAAGAAGAAAAACTTGAATGAAATATTGAAACCTCAAAAAAAAAAAAAAAGAACAATAGCACTTTGTTGAAGTATGTTTGCTTATGACTGTTGCACGGTCAGCACTGTAGAAAAACTCACCACCTCACCAACTTGTGGTCATTGTAAATATTTTTCTTCTGTAATAACCTTATAATTTAGATAACGCTGGATCTTATATTTGGCATTAACTGTGTGCTGTTGCAGTCCACATCTATATTTCTAAAAAAATAGTGTAGTACTAACTCACTTCTCTGCTCAGAAAGAAATCCATCACTTTGACATAAATAACCCAACAGAGAGGCTCCAAGAGATGCCAGAACACCAAGGTAGCACCTTTCCCGAACACATGAATACTTCACATTTATTTTTCCTTTGAGGAATTGTCTATACAAACCTGAAAAAATTCTCCTCCAAGAGTACCTTCCTAGTGATGGGTGCAGGTTCAGAAGGTGGCAGGAATGCTTATTTTGCTTCCTCAGAACGTCTAGTTTGCTACTATGGTGCCAAATTCAACTGCCATTTTGTTTGTATGAGAATAATTTGATGGATACAGGATTTTATTATTTGATTCTACATAACTCATGAATATATTCAGAAAATGTTTCCATGTAAGGCTGTGAGTTAGAGAACAGAAAAAAAAAGATGGATACAAATATTTCTGCCCCAAAGAATCTCTACTGAATATAAATGTACACACATCTACAGGTGTACACGTACCTATTAATTTTCCCACAAAATTCACAGAAAGAGAATTATTCAGATAAAACAAATGTTACAAATTTAGAATAAATGAAACTATGTTATTCATTCTAACATAAGTAAATTCTTCAAAAAAATAGGATTAGTTTCTTTGCTTCAGTTTAAGCAAGATATTTTTTGGACCAAGATTGATTGTTCAGCTGCAAAACAACAGCTTAATGAACAACTTAGCTTTCATATGTGTTGTATTTCTGGATAATATAATGTTCAGGGTGTGTGATACCTCCCACTGTGCCAATGACAATGGTGTATGCTGACCACAACTTACAAAAATATAGACTGGCCTCATTTCTGTTAAATTCCTATGAATCAATTACCATCATAATTAAGGCGTTTATATTTTCAACACAGATAATATCTCCTAAGCATTTAAGCTTTCAGGTTAATGAATGTAAAGATAACTTACAGGTTTTTCTTCCCAGCCTTGAACTGTATTAATACACTGTTGTCTCTGAAATATACTTTCAAAGAAATTGCATGCATATTGTGTACAAAAGACAGCGAGTATCTTAAGTTCTTTGATGTGTTCAAACAGAAATAAGAAGGCCAGGTGAAAGTGAACACACGAAATTATATCTTCAGGATGTTGTTAAAATGTGGAGATTTTTGACAAGGATAATTCTTATATAATAATCTAACTTAATCAAGGTTACACTTTATAATTGTCTTGAGCTTTTATACTCATGAGTTTGTGTGATCTCTGCAGTTAAAAGATATATGCACATTTTTTGTCATTCAAAAAAACAACTGCTTTGGGAATTCAATATTACATTTTGCTTACCTTTTGGAGACAAAAATTGCAATTCATAGAAATAGTAACTCACAGAAATATGCACCCTATGTCTTATATCCTAATAACTTATAGTATCCCTTCTACTTACAAACCATATAAAATAAGAATAGCAGAGCATATCAACTAACTGCCTGAAAATAATCCTCAGTTTGCAATGAACTTCTGCTTTGTTCCTACGGGCCTGGTAATGACTTTGAAAGAAAAATAGTCATATTTCCCATGGAGTTCAAACACTGATATATCAATAACACAACAGAAGATGCAGCCTAATTTGGATGAGAGTTACTTAGATTTAGGAAATCAAACAAGAGACTTTTAGTTAGTTATATAGTAACTGCTTCAAATCTTCAGAGGACTTTTCATGGTAAAATCACGTAGGCATCAGAGAAAAGGAAAACACTACCATAGCTTCACCAGCATACCAGAAATCTTGCCACATTGGTTACATTTTGTGAGATCTCAGAAGCTGATAAATTGTTAGTAAAAACCTGTTATAAGTAGGTGCTGTGGATATATTAAACAAAAAGCAACTATAATCATTTACTATAGTTATAATTATTTTGAAACAAGGCCTGATAGTCACAACATTTTTAGCCATAATTCCCTGATCCAAACTGATACTGTTGCTAGTGTTGAGGCTTGAATATATGTACAATAAGAATGTACTGTCCCACTTTAATGCATTGTACATATTCATGCCAGCCTAGCAGTCTCTAAAATACTTTCCACATAGGTATTGCTAACCTTCAGAGTAAACTTCATGTGTTTATATGATGTAATCAAAAAACTTAGAACGAAACCTAGTATCTACAGTGACACCACTAAATACCTTAAAGAGCATTGGAACCCTGTCATCTAGTATAGGTGGATAATACCTCACCTTTCTGCCTTTTGTCCAACCACATTTCTTATTTGGGGAATTGAAATGGAAGAATGAATAGACATATTATTTATAGAAAAATTACTGTGATAATATTCAGCAATGAGAAGCTAAGCAAGAAGGAGGACCCTGGGTAAGATGCTCAATCTTCATTCAGAAAGGCAAATGGGATAAACATCAGAAGAAGGTGAAAACAAGGAACAAGACAGAAGCCTACCACAGAGGACTCTGAAAGACTTTACCCAGCAGTGTAGTAAAGAAGATGATGAGACTCATAGCCAAACAGTGGGCAGAGTGCAGGGAATCTTGTGAAAGAAGGGAGAGATAGAAATACCTGAAGGGTCTGGAGCTCCACAAGGAGAGCAACAGAATAAAAAAATCTGGGCACAGGGGTATTTTCTAAGACTGATACTCCAACCAAGGACCATTCATGGAGATAACCTAGAACCCCCTGCTCAGATGTAGCCCGTAGCAGCTCAGTGTCCAAGTGGATACTCTAGTAAGAGGAACAGGGGCTGTCTCTGACATGAACTCAGTGGCTGGCTCTTTGATCACCTCCCTCTGAGAGTGAGGGTAGCCTTACCAGGCCATAGGGAAGACTATGAAAGACAGTCCTGATGAGACCTGATAGACTAGGGTCAGATGGAAAGGAAGGAGATCCTCCCCTATCAGTGGACTGGGGAAGGGAAATGGGCAGAGATGAGGGAGGGAAGGAGGGCAGATTTGGGAGGGGACAAGGCAGGGGGATACAGCTGTGAAACAAAGTAAATAAATTGTAATAAATAAAATTTATTTTTAATTTAAAAAATATATAAGATATAAAAAAGAAAAGGTTACCTATATATTTTTATAATGAACTTATTTTTTAAAAACAGCTTATTGTAGTGCATCAAAATTTATAAAACAATGGTTAGTTTCCTCTTAACTCAGAATATGAAAAAAAAATGAATGTCCTGGATTTTAACTTCTAAATTGTTTTTATTGTTATGAAAGATTAGTAAGTAAGCTCAAAATCCAGTCAATTTAAAGATCAAATCTAACAGTGGAACATTACTTTAGTAAAATAATAGTATGCAAAATTAATGAAAAGAACATAACTTTTAAGAGTTGTGATAACTCAGGAGAAAATTGCAGATATGATCTTATTTGTCCATTATTTCTTGGAATGTTCACAGGAGACAACATACAAGTAGAGAAATAATTACTGTTTTCGGCATTACTTCCACGTATGAATTTTTGCAAATGGAATGTACCAATCCTGGCAATTAGAGGGAATTCTGTTAGTGTGGAGTGCAGTTTCTCTTATTGAGCACTTACTATTTGCAAACTACTTTGGGAAACATTTATCATATGTAGGGAAGAGAAACTAGGTACATGGCAGGTCTATCATTTCTTCCTTGTAAAGCACCACATTCCCACTAAGTAAAAAATCCTGACTGTGATTCTAGGCACTCTGACATCAGGGTTTTTCACTGAGAGACTACCCTTCTTAGAGTCTCATATAAAACCAAGTATTTAGAAAGATCAGCATGCTAATTCAAATGTTTATTTATATATTCTTACCATCTTGAGGCCCTCATTTTTGATAATCTCATTTTAAATAACTGTGCTTACATGTAAACATACACAGATGTATGCATGTAATTGTAAAATAAAAAAATAACTGAAAATATCTGTATCTTTTACATACTTTTAACAGCTCACCCCTCTTAAGTGTTCCCTGTTTTTTCATGGTTTTTCCAAATGACTTATTAGCAACCTAAGGTAGTAGCCATTTGCTTTCTCCCCCCCTAGAAGCTCAGAAGAAGCAGTTGGAGGAGAGTATAGAGCTGATCCAAGACGAATGTGTGTCAGAGAATGCAGACCACTCCATAGAGGAGCCTGCTGAAGGAGGGCAAGAAGCGGATGGAGGAGAGATGACTGATGGGATAGAGGAGGACTTCGATGAAGATGGGGGTCACGAGCTGGTAGGAATGCAATATTCGTTGTCTGCCTCTGTTGGGTGACAGCAATGGCATTTGAGTAATGTATTCAAGTAAGAATTAAATAATTTGAGGCATTTTAAAAATCTTGTATGACTATATTAAAGGGAACATCAATATAGTGCTTTGCACATAGCAAGTGCTCAATGTGTTCGTTTTTAAATAATATGAGGTTGAAAATGAATGTAAACTATATAAGTATTGTATAAAATGTTAAGTCCCAAATGAAAAATCTTTCTTCTTCACATTCTCTATCATACAAAAAATTTTGCATTTGTAGAGTTAAATGTGTGGATAGATATAATATGCTGGTGACAAAAATCATCTCTTATAAGACACATGGAAGCTTCTTTTAAAACCTTTTAAATTTTTATTTACTTATTTATTTTGTCTGCACATGTGCACACATGCTTTAACACATCTGTACAGGTCAAAGAATAACTTGCTTGTAGGTAGTAGAAGCCAGGGAAGACTCAGGTTGTCAATCTTTACAGCAAGCACACGTACTCACTGAGCCATCTCATCATTAGTTTTACTGACTGGAAAAAGTCACACACCCTAGCTGTGTGGCCAGCCATGAGCTCCACAAATGGCCTGCCATGGTGACTACTAGTGTGTGACCCATCATGACCTCATCATTTCCAGTGTCAGTGCTGCTTGATAATCAAATATTATTGTTTGTATGTACAATCTAATTTTTGAACATTTCTTTTATTTTTGTTTTTTTCTAATTGCAGTTTATTCACTTTGTATCCCCTCTGTACCTCCTTCCTCCTCCCTGCCCAATCCCACCCTCCCTTCCTATTCTCCATCCCTGCTCCTCCCCTAGTCCACTTATAGGGGAGGTCTTTCTCCCCTTCATTCTGATCCTGGTCTATCAGGTCTCATCAGGAGGGGCTGCATTGTCTTCTTCTGTGGCCTGGTAATGCTGCAACCCTAATGATCAAATATCAGGCCAATCAGTTCATGTCAGAGACAGTCCCTGTTCCCATTAATATGGAACCCACTTGGACACTGAACTGCCATGGGCTACATCTGTGCAGGGGTTCTAGGTTGTCTCCATGAATGATCCTTGGTTGGAGTATCAGTCTCAGAAAAGACCAAATATTATTATTATTTTTTTTTAATTTTTTTATTTTTATTTTATTTTTCTTTTTAGTTACATTTTGTTAACTCTGTGTCCCAGCTGTATCCCGCTCCCTCATTCCCTCCCCAACCCCACACTCCCTCCCTGGTCTCCTCCCTGCCCCTTTCCAAGTCCCCTGATAGGGGAGGACCTCCTCCCCTTTCATCTGACCCTGTTTTATCAGGTATCTTCAGGGCTGGCTGCAAAGTCCTCCTCTGTGGCCTAACAGACTGCTCCTCCCCTGGGGTGGGGGTCAAACAGCCTGCCCTTGAGATCCTATTAGAAATAGTCCATGTTCCCCTTACTTTGGAAAACTACTTGGTTACTGAGCTACCACAGGCCACATCCGAGCAGAAGTTCTAGGTTATATCCATAGATGGTCCTTGGTTGAGTGTCAGTCTCAGAAAAGACCCTGTGCCCAGATATAACCAAATATTATTTTAAAGAATTTACCTAAGACCATATTCTTATATATTTTATTTTCCCAATGTTAAAATTAGTATGCTATTCACTTCCATGCACCCTTTCCTTGACAATTGCACTAGACAATTGGTAAAAACATGCTGCTATTTCAACCATGAAATTAAAAATTATGTCTCAAAGAACTTGATTAGTAAAGGTGTGTGAAAGCATAATATATGTATGTTAGAGTGTGTGTTTGGGTGTGTGTTGTATATGTGATTAACTCTCAATTGTATCTATAGATGATCTTACATATTATATATAAATATATTTACTAAATATATAATAACAAGTTCTTCCATGTAATATTATATTCCTATTTATTTTAAAACCTATTTTTGCTTAAGTAATTTTGTTATGGTTATTACCATTGTTGTTTGATATAGTGATAAAGTTCTCGACCAATTCAATGAAATTGTAATATATCAGAATTCTAAATTAATTTTTAATATCCAGCTTTATTTAAATGTCATGGTGCATTCATTTAAGCTTTTCAAATATAAGCTTTCAACAATTACCATGTTTCCTTCAAACTTTCACTTCAGATTGAGGTTTTGAAAATGTGAGGTCTGCCCACTGTTTTAGAATTATAATGAAATGATTTTATCAAAGACAGGAAGGAAGGACAAAGGTTTCTCAGTGCCCTAACTTAATAGCATAATTTCCCTACTTGCTCTCATCTGAAATCTTTTTCAGTATTTCTTTGGTTGGTCTGCCAGGAGAATGTCATGTTGTTATGCCCAGTGGTTGCTTTTCTTCATTTGTTTCTCAGCAAGATTGTGTATAACTAGCTACTTCTTTTTTTCTCTGAGATTCCCCTTATTCACCATTTGGTCACTATCAGTCTAATAAGCTAAAGCTAGTCCTTCTTTAAGTAGCCCAGTTGGCCAGGACATTGTAGTTGATACTTACTATTTCTATCACCTCCCAAGTAAAACTCAGATATCAGAGCTTTAAGTATCTTCTACAGACTAAAAGCCTCTATCTACATTTGTATTTCTAATTGGTTGATAGTACTCTTACTATTCGCCTGACTGATACCAGGCTGCTATCCAATACACATCTCAAACTAAATGGTCAGAGTACCTTTAATTTTTTTTTTCTTGCTGTCTTTCTGAGTCTTCCTCATTCAGTATGTACTGTCACCCATACACAAAATTATGACAGTAAATTGGAAGGGATTATTTCTCCTCTTCTGCTACTTATTATTTTTGCCTCCAAATCACAGCCAAATGTGAGTTCTGCACCCACTGCAAATACCCTGACTCAATGAAATGAATTGATCAAAGACAAGAAACAAGGATGTCCTTTAGGCTATTTTTATCAGGCTTGGTTGTCCACTATTCTCAGATGAATCAAATATCATGAAATAACAGGAAAGTATTACAACCAAAATACCATGTAGGAAAGCAAGAAGCCCAGCATTCAGCACGCCCTTCTGCCTGACATAGAAGGAAGACTTGTGGAGAGAGGTGTATGTGGCTAAGCAGTTGTTGTTGGTCTCTGTGCTGTTAGTTGCTACTTTTATTCTATTTCCTCAGGATAGTTCTAGAGATATCCTTGTCACAAGAAAAGAGAGTCTTGTTCTCCTGAAATATTTGCTTCTACATAAGAGAGAACTTTACACAGAGTTATCTGTCTAAAAAGCTTTTCTATTCCTAGAACCTGAAGGGCTTCAGACTGAGGCAAATAGGAAGTATCAGGATCAAAAATCACCACAGATGAAAATCTCAAGAACTGAGAAGTAGATCATCTCAACTATCACGAGATCCCTCCAACTATTCTAAGAACTAAGGATTAAGACATTTTCTGAATTGACAAATAAGAAGTTGTATGTCTGGTTTTAGTTCTAGATCTGACACCTTGGAATCACTAAACAAATAAATTGTTGAGTCTTAAGCTTATTGTGTTCAACAAAGAGTAAGTTGGAAATATCTTTGTGTGTGTGTGTATGTGTGTGTATGTGTGAATATGGATGTGCACTGTTATGTGTGTGTGAGCCCATGACTGTTCAGGTACACCTGTGTAGGTGGAAGTCTGCCTACAGTTGGTGGTGGGTGGGAAAGATCAATATTGTCTTCTTTGCTCTCTGTCCACTGTTTACAATGAGACAGTTTCTCACTGAAGCAGAGGCCCACCAGAAGGCTAGACTGGTTAGCCAGAGGACTGTAGGAATCTGCCTGTCTCTATCTCCACTCCTGGATTAGGGTTATATTCTGTTCATGCCTGAGTTTCTCATTGGGTGTTGAAGGTACTAACTCAGAGCCTCATGGTTATGTGGCATGAACTTTATAGGCCGTGTATCTTCCAGCCCAAATCTGAAATCCATGTCATTCTACCATGCCTCTGAGTGGTCATGTGTCAGGAAAGCCACATGTCTAATGGGACAGAACTTTCATGCAGTCATGTGAATAATCTCAAGCCATCAGAAAGCACCTGACCAGAGTCCATCTGTCTAGAAGCACAAATATTTTTCACTCTGAGCCTTTGCTTTATAATTGGAAGCTTGGGGAGGATAATAATTAACTCTTTTTAAAGTAATTTTTCTTTTATAATTTATTTAATTTTACATTGTGTGCATTGGTTGGTGTGGGGGTGTCAGATTCTGTGGAACTGGAGTTACAGACAGTGGTGAGCTCCCATGTGGGTACTGGAAATGAAACCCAAGTCCTTTGGAAGAACAGACAATGCTCTTAACCATTAAAATGTCTCCCTAGTCCAAGAATTAGCTCTTATTACATATGGTACTTCCTTTGTTCTGGGATTTGGAACACAATAATTGTGGATGATTTAAATGTTTAGTCCCTGCTACAGAAACAGAAACTGGAGTCTGTCCATCCGACTGATTAGTCAAGGAGACGTTTCTTGGTGTTATTTACACTGTTTATCTTCTTTTCTAACCACATGAAAAAATTTCATACCTGATGTTTAAAAAAATAAAAGTAAAAGCACATTTTTTTTCTTTTTTGCCATAACAGAGGACATTATAAGTATGCACACAGGCGACACAATGATGCAATGGAGTAGGTGACATAAATCAAAGATAACCTGTTTGCCAAATGCCTAGCTGATTACTCAAGCACAACTCTGTTCCAGGAGAATGAACAAGGAAGTAGGGATCTAATCTTAACCAACTAAGGTCCAACACAATGAGCTAGTGGGATGACTGAAAGGTCCTATGTGAACAAGAAGCCAAGGACATGAACACTATTAAACAACATCTACTGAATATACATGGAGTGAAATCAATTTCCCTGTGTCAGTCTAATCACATAGCATTAGAAGCCTACTTAGCATGAACCTGGTACTGTCACAACTTGCAAAAATAGCTTTAGTGACTGCTTCAAATGTGGAATTATGAAACTAAGGATATGGTTTCTTGTCTCGAGTAGCTAAG